CGACCCGTCGCTGTTTGTTCGTCGTGGGCGCACACCTTTCTTTGTTCTGGTCTACGTTGACGACTTGGTCTTCGCCACAGCCGACACTGTTGCACTGGCGGAGGTGAAGTCCGAACTGCAGAAGAGACACACCTGCACTGACCTTGGGGAACTGCGCCGCTACCTTGGCTTGCAGATCTCCAGGGACAGAGCCGCTCGCACCATCACTCTGACTCAGTCACACATGGTGCAGCAGGTCCTTCAGCGGTTCGGGCTTCAGCACTCCTCTCCCACACCCACTCCTCTTGCTGTAGACCACAGACTCACTGGGCCTTTTCCTGACGAGCCGTTCGAGCCCAGTGGTCCCTACGCAGAGCTGGTGGGCTGCCTCATGTACCTGATGACGTGCACTCGCCCGGACCTCGCCTTCCCTCTTAGCATCCTTTCTCGCTTTGTTGCGACTGGGAGACACCGTCCTGTTCACTGGACGGCGGCTAAGAGGGTGGCGAAGTACCTGGCCACGACGTCAGACATGGGGCTTGTACTTGGAGGGACTCAGCCAGTTGTTCTCACCGGTCACTGTGACTCCTCGTACGCTGACGACGCTGAGACTCAGAGGTCTACACAGGGTTACTGTTTCAGTCTGGGTTCTGGAGCTGTTTCGTGGAGGTCTACTCGGTCCTCCTCTGTTGCGACTTCTACCGCAGAGGCCGAGATCTACGCTGGAGCCCTTGCTGCACAGGAGCTGCGCTGGTTGACCTTCTTGCTCACTGACCTTGGCGAGCGGCCGAGCTCTGCACCGACCTTGTTTGCTGACAACAAGGCGATGATTCTCCTGTGTCGTGAGCCGCGACTGGAGAGCAGAGTGAAGCACATTGACGTCAGGTACTTCCTCCTTCGAGAGTTGCAGAGACGCGGACAGGCTCGTCTGGACTTTGTGGCCTCCGAGGCCAACACTGCAGACATCTTCACCAAGGTCCTCCAGCCTTGTGACCACCGCCGGTTTTGTCTGCAGTTAGGCCTCGTTGAGACTGGGTCTAGTTGACTGCTGTAGGGTGCTCTTTGTCTGTTGCTTGCTTGTACTTGGTATATATATTTGTTTTCACACTTTTGGACTGGCCTTGTGGCCCTTTGCTTGTGCTCAGATTAGGTGGTGACGTTGTGATCCACCCTGAGCTTTGTTTTCTTTCTCTTGCTTTTGACTGGTCTTGTGACCGTAGGTTGCTTGTTGTTGATTGGCCTTCCCCACTTAGGCTATGGGGGTGTGTCAAATATTATAGCCTGTAGTGGGTTGGGCTATATGGGGTACAACTAGTTAGGGTTAGGTTATGTACCCCAATTCTGTCAATGCAACACATTCCGCTGTAGTTCTCATTCTGACAACCTAATCCACATGCAATATCCTCTGTATAGCATTCCGGTCTTCCAGTGCAATCAAAGAGCATCGGACGTGTACTAGAATTGAAACGCATTCCAGAATGCTATTCATGAGAACTTCAGTAGGAGCACCGCTGCTACTGAACCCGGGGCCTTTACGTGAACTCCGCAACACTAGCCTGATTACTAACACTAGCCTGATTACTGGAGGTAGTTCAATTCCATTTCGAAATCTTCTTGGCTGATGCTGCCTGTGAAAGTCTTCACAAGTTTTCCCCCTTTGAAGACCCACAAAGCAGGCTTAGCGCCCCCGTCACCGAAATTGGCGACGAGAGGATACTTGTCGACGTCAATGGCGACAAATTCGACGAATCCTAAGAAGTTCTCAGCAGTCCTACCAATAGTGAACTGAAGTCCTTCGCGATCGTAGGTTCGGTCATTCCGACTACTAAACACCGTAGCCACGACTAGCGACGGCTCAGAGGCGTCAAGAAGAACCTTGAGCTCATCATCAGTCAAGAATTTCACAAACCCTGTAGGTCCCGCCGCCATTAAAACCAGCTACTTCTAAGACGTGAAGGAAAAGAGAGGAACTTCGGTTGGGTGTGTGAACGCCGCGTTAGGAAAAGAAAGGAACCATGTGGGAAGGAATCAGCTCGAAATATTTTTACGAGAGACTCCTTTGGAAGTGCATTGAGGCTGCCTAGCGCAGGGTCGTGCTTAGGACGTGGTGCAGTTGGCTTCTGATGGTGATGTTTGCTTCAATCAATGGCGACCTACGATTTCCTGAAAGCCACGTCGGGATTGTGGTGCGATTGGAGGCAGTCGATCAATCGGGATCAAGGCCCCGATATCAGTCTATCAATTGAGATATGTAGATTGGGTGGGATCGGGAATTCTGGAAACGCCACAACTCCCTTCGACGGTCTACTACTAATAAGAATTTGATTAATCTTCCGCAATTTCGCATGGACTAAAGCGAACTGTACCACGTTTTGAGGTGCATTTCTAGTATAGCACCTAACCACCACAACACGTTGGAGAGCCCCGAGGCTCTGTCGCTATTGGTTCGGCAAAAACGTCAAGACGTCGCGTCGCGTAAGATACTAACGGAACTCTCGTTCTGGACCGTATCCTCAACTTTCTCAACACTGTAGAGAGACAAATTGCTTACATGAAGGGTGGGTACAAGGGGAATCCCTATTGCTTTGTTCAGCGTGCAGTTGCAACCTGCGCATATGGTATGCATCACTAAAAGCAGAACCTGCGCGTAAAAAACAGTGGGCAGCAATATGTTGTAAACAAACTGCGCATAAAATTCCATGGTGTATAGTAAACCAGCAGAATTCCTAACGCAGGCAATCCCGAGGCGTTTCTTCAAACGACCTGGTATGCCCACCCGACCACATCCATATGAATCCCTCCCACTTCCGCAACCAACCATCTGTTGCTCAAATTAGACCGTTCTGTTTCAAATCTTAACCTTCTTCAACCGCATTCGGAACAGTGCCATACGATGTAGGGGGAACACATGAAACCGAATCCACATGCAATATCCTCTGTATAGCATCCCGGTCTGCAAGTACAATCAAAGAGCATCGGAACTGTACTAGACTTGATAAACGCATTTCAAAATGCGATTCCTGAGAATTTCAGTAGAGCACCGCCGCTGCTGGCCTCGAGGCTTTCACGTGAACAACTCCGCAACCCTATTTTGATATCCGGAGCATACTCAATCTTGTTACGAGATCATCTTGCCTGATCATGGCGCCAATGAAAGTCTTCACAAGTTCGCCCCCTTTGAAGATCCAAACAACAGGCGTAGCGCCCACGTAACCAAATTTGGCAACGAGGGGATACTTGTCGACGTCAATCATAACAAATTTAGCGTCTACTATGAAGCCTTCAGCAGTCTTATCCAAAGTGAACTGAAGTTGTTGGCGCTCATAGTACCGGTCCTTTCCACTACTAAACACCGCAGCCACGACTAGCGACGGCTCAGACGCGTCAAGGAGAACCTGGAGGTCATTATCAGACACCAATTTCACAAAATGTACAGGTCCCGCCATTTCGCCCTTTCCCCACTTCTCCCTATCACTACCTCCGGTACTCACCCCCGTGCTCAAGGTGAGTCAGCCTCTCTTTCCCCTTATTTCCCCCTCTGCTCCCCCTCGTTCCCCCCTCTCCTTCCCCTTATTTCCCCCTCTGCTCCCCCTCGTTCCCCCCTCTCCTTCCCCTTATTTCCCCCTCTACCTCCCCTCGTTCCCCCGTGTCCTTCACCTTATTTCCCCCTCTGCACCCCCTTAGTTCCACCCCTCTCCTTCCCCTTATTTCCCCCTCTGCTCCCCCCTGTTCCTCTTATTACCTCCCCTGCTCCCTCTCATCACCTCCCCTGCTCCCTCTCTTATTTCCCCGCTCTGCTTCCCCTCGTTCCCCCCTCTCCTTCCCCTTATTTCCCCCTCTGCTCCCCCTTAGTTCCCCCCTCTCCTTCCCCTTATTTCCGCCTCTGCTCCCCCTCGTTCCCCTTATTACCTCCCCTGCTCCCTCTCATTCCCTCCCCTGCTCCCTCTCATTCCCTCCCCTGCTCCCTCGTTTCCCTTCATTCCCGTCCCCGCTTCTCCTTTGCCTGCTTTCTCTTTGATTGCGTCTTGCCCACAGTTCTCCCCTTACCCTCCTTCCGCCGTTGATTTCTATGCTATCACCCTCCTTTCCCTGAGTTTTTCACCCCATTTTACGCTTTGACTCCCCACCTGCTTGCCCTTGTTCGTCTCAACCCCCTTACCCCCCCCCCCCCAACAGGCTCTTCCTGATTTCCAGATCATCTTCACTCAATGTCTGCTCTGTGCAGCGTCAAGCACAATGCATAGTAATCTCAGTCTACAATGTGTATTCCCTCAATGTATCTAGCCATAGCATGGCATTACAACTCATTTACATTCTGAATAATAGTAGTGGAATCCAGTAGTTATCATGTGACCTTTGTTCTTTCAAATGGGCACAGCACAGCATCGATGTAGAGAAGAGAAGCATGAGATGAGTATGTACACATGATAAAATCATCGCAAAACACCGTACAAGACAGCACCTTCCACAACCTCCCAAACTCTTGGACCTGCTGCTCCTCCCTTCATGCCGCCAAAATTGCCCGGGCCTGGCTTGGCCCTGTGCGTAGCAGGATTGCATGCAAAACCTGCAGCTTTGCGTATGCATACTGGCTGTATGACACGTGGTGTCGCAACAGTAAATAGCGGGGCCCAAAACCTATGGGAGGGAAGGCAGGGATGCGAGAAGGGAAGGCAGGGATGTCTGATGGGAAGGCAGGGATGTGAAAAAAAACTTAGGAATGGAAGTATGCGAGGGGTAAGAATTGCAGGAAGGGTAGGGCAGAAAGGGAAGGGCAGGAACGGAAGGAGATAGGAAGGGAGGGAGGGGAGATGGGACGTAAGGAAGGGAAGTAAGGAAGATAGCGTGTCTGTTCACGACACCTGGGTGGGGAGGGTGGGGTTGGGGACAGCAAGGATGGGGCTCTGCATGGCGGAGGCGAGCACGAGGGAGCGCATGGACAGCAGCCTCTTCGCACTTCGAATTCTCCTCCCTTCATGTCGATCGGGAGAAAGCATCAGCCACCTGCAGGCAGAGCACTCTCACGGCCTTAACCGCCACGGACCCATGGGTACTACCCCCACCAGTTCCACCGCCCCCTCCGCACCAGACCAATGCCCCGCTTCGTCCACTGCTCCGGTTCCTGAAGTCAGCAGCGACGCCAGATGATCGTCCAATGCTGATGGCCTGGGTCCGTCCGAACCGTTCCCCACCAGCCCGCTTTTCCCACCGCTGGTGCTGCTGTGGCTACCCAGAGTGGTGGCGGAACCCGCTGTGCAACCGCTCCCTTGTCCCACATGCGGCTTCACCCACGCGTCAAACACGGCGAGAAGTGCTTCCGCCAATGCGGAAAGCCCTGTCCTTTCCGGGCGCATCATTCCTTCCTGGGAAGGGGAGAAGGGAGGCGGGAAGGGGAGAAGGGAGGCGGGAAGGGGAGAAGGGAGGCGGGAAGGGGAGAAGGGAGGCGGGAAGGGGAAATGGCATGGCGGGAAGGGAATATGGCATGACGAGCATGGTGTGGGGAGAAGAGGCGGCTATGGTAAGCGTACAGCAGCAGGGAGCACAACAGCAGGGCGCACAGCAGAGCAGTGCAAGGGAAGGAACCGAAGTGATTGCACCATGCCATATGATGGGCGAGCTGCAGCCTGCCATGCACCTGACGAATTGCATGAGGAAGAGCCGCAGCGCATCTCCCTCGAGCAATACACATCTCCCTGGGGAGGCCGCTAACACAGGGGCACACAGGCGTGATGGTGCAGGCATGTGCAGCCGAGGGCAGGAACAGGCAGGCGAGGGGACAGAAGGGCAGAATATTGGAGTGATGTGCGTAGCTTCGCTAGGAAAGGCGCGTGACAAGTTGCGCGCGAGAGTGAAAAGAACTGGGAAACAGTGGGTGAAACAGGGATGGCATGGCACGGAAGCATAACATGAAGGAGGAGAGACGGGCAGCAGGTAGAGCGCGGAGAGGAAGAAGGGGAGGAGTGCGGAGAGGAAGGAGGGGAGGAGTGCGGAGAGGAAGAAGGGGAGGAGTGCGGAGAGGAAGGAGGGGAGGAGTGCGGAGAGGAAGAAGGGGAGGAGTGCGGAGAGGAAGGAGGGGAGGAGTGCGGAGAGGAAGAAGGGGAGGAGTGCGGAGAGGAAGAAGGTGAGGAGTGCGGAGAGGAAGGAGGAGCGCGGAGAGGAAGAAGGTGAGGAGTGCGGAGAGGAAGGAGGAGCGCGGAGAGGAAGAAGGTGAGGAGTGCGGAGAGGAAGGAGGGGAGGAGTGCGGAGAGGAAGAAGGTGAGGAGTGCGGAGAGGAAGGAGGGGAGGAGGAGTGCGGAGAGGAAGAAGGTGAGGAGTGCGGAGAGGAAGAAGGTGAGGAGTGCGGAGAGGAAGGAGGAGCGCGGAGAGGAAGGAGGAGAGGAGCGCGGAGAGGAAGGAGGGGAGGAGCGCGGAGAGGACGGAGGGGAGGAGCGCGGAGAGGAAGGAGGGGTGGAGCGCGGAGAGGAAGAAGGAGAGGAGCGCGGACAGGACGGAGGGGAGGAGCGTGGACAGGACGGAGGGGAGGAGCGCGGAGAGGAAGGAGGGGAGGAGCGCAGAGAGGAAGGAAGGGCGGCGGAGCGCGTAGAGGTAGGAAGGGCGGAGCGCGGAGAGGAAGGAGGGGAGGAGCGCGGGTATCCAATATTAACCGTCGCTGGTGACAGCTGTTCAATATGTGCAGATGGGCCTAGGTATGCTAGTCTGCTTCCTCATGACTTGTTTGCTGCTTCCCATGCTAGCCCGTCCTCGTGCGCCGCTGCGCACCGCGATTGCTGTGTCTGGCTCTGAGCCACGGATGTTTTCGCGCGGGCTGTGGCTCATTGCTACCTGAATCCGCTGCAAAACGCCCGACACGAACAACGCTTGAGCAGCAGCAGCGCAAGCATTTCAGCAACCTAGAAGGTGTTGAAACCACACAGACAATCGGTAACGACTTACGATTGAACACACTCCGAATGTCCTTATCACTAATTTCGACTCCAACTTGCTAGTATCGTCCTGACAGCCGCTGCTACCTGGGCGATAGATTCGCCTCAGCATTTTACGACAGTCTGCGACAGTTCGGCCATAAAACTATGGCGGGAGCTGATGAGAAGAGTGCACCTGGCGGGCGCGAAAATCCCTATCAAAGCGACCGTGACGTGTCGCGAGTCGTGACCAAGCGCGGGCAATTTTTTTTTTTTTTTTACCGCTCCGTCGCGATACGAGGTTGTTGTCAGTGTCGGGGCGATGGCGCTAATATTGGCGTGGCGCGCTGACTAACGTTAGCTTGGCGGGGCTCACGAAGAATGCTACTTCCTACATAGGGGTGACAATCCGTCTCCTTTTGCAAGTCCTAAGGTTTTGAAGGTCAGGGTTGGGACGAGGTGGTGCGCTTGTAATATGGTAACCATTTTTGGGTTGCGTAGCAACCTTATTGTTATGAGTTGTCAAACAGAGTTGCGCGGAATAACGAATAACGAGGCTGTGACTCAATGGATTGACGGTACAATGAAAGGCATGCGATTATATAGCGAGACAACCTAGCTAGGCGGGAACCTCGGGAACGCGAGGTTGGGTGCAGGTTGGGCAATGGAAAGCCGAAGGCGACGCGAGGTTGCTTCGGCAGCAAGCAAAGCGGCCGAACGTGCACTTCCGAAAGTTGGGGTTGTACGCGGTTGAGTAAACCCCAGTAAGGAAAAAGGGTTTTTCCTTACACTACCCCCCCCCCTTAAGAAAGGTGGTCAACATCCACAGCTCGCTTGCGGGCGAGGTAATCACCAAGAAGCGGGGAAGCTTCAAGCGAGGCGGATGGCACCCATGTGTCGTCCTCACTGGTGCGGTCAGTCCAACGGATAAGAAAGTCCACGTGGCGTCCCGAAGCGTCGAGCCGAACACGATGCGCCAAAATCTTGGACGGGTCGAGTGTCGGTTCCGGGACAGGTCGAGCTGTCGGGACGGCGTTCTGGCGCGCGATGTCTGTTGTGGCAGGCACGAACTTGCGTAATAAGCTGACGTGGAAGGCGTCGTGAATACGCCAGTCGTCGGGTAGTAGCAGCTTCGCGGTGACAGGTGTCACCATCTTGAGGATCCTGAAAGGCCCACAGAATCGTGGCCGTAACTTCGATGGGCCGGGCAGGTGCAGGTTCTTCGTGTCCAGTAGTACTAGTTGCCCAGCTGCCAAGACGAGTTCCCGTCGTAAAAGGTCGGTGTATTTGCGGGAAGTGGTATTCGCCTTGCGAATTGCGTCCGCAGCCTTCTCGCGAATTTCTTGGAGTTCTGTCACAAATGTTTGTGACCTCGGGACCGGGTTGTCGAGTGTAGTCGTTGTAGGTACCACCGGGTCCATCCCGTAATTCAAGAAGAACGGGGAGTGATTAGTCGTGCTGGACGGAGCGTTGTTGAACGCGAATTCCAGCATGGCGAGCGAATGTTCCCAGCGAGCGGGGTCGGGGCAGTTTGTCCTGATCAGCTGCTCCATCGTCTGATTGGTCCGCTCGGTCTGGCCGTCGGTTTGCGGGTGGTATGCCGACGAGAACTGTAGCTTCGTTCCGTACTGCGCCCACGTCTCCTTCCAAAATTTCGATGTGAACTTTGGGTCCCGGTCGCTGATGATCGCCGATGGGATGCCGTGTAGTCTTGAACAGAAGCCAACTGTGACCAGGTACGCAGCTTCATGCGAGCGTGTTCCGAGGCGGATACATGCTCGAAACGCTCTCGTAAGGCTGCGCCCCACTGTTTCCACGTGCGAATTGTGGCCACACCGAATATCGATGATGCCCTCCCAATAGCAGAGTCCGAAGTCCCGTCTGCCGCATGTGTCACACCTGTCGGGGTCCCCGTGTCCAAGGTTCGTCGCCACCACTCAAGCGCCGGGCCTCGCAGAAGCGATACCGCGTAATTAATACGCGTGGCGTCGTCGTTGACGTTCGCTGCAGTGAAGAACACCTCCATGTCAAATGATATAAATGTGTTATATATTGGTAGGCTGTAGTGGGGTAGATGTTATAGGGGATAACTCCTTAGGGTTGTGTTATTTGTACCAAACTCTCGATAGTGCACACCACCTTGCCTGATTCTCTCGACATGGTATCAGAGCAAAGGTCTCGGGTTCGAATCCCGGTGTATGCACTTCGGGCATCCCAGTGCGGGGGGGTGTCAGAGGCGCCTAGAGGTACTGGAGTCGCTGGTTCTGGAGGTACTCGTACTGGAGACACTGAGGCTGGAGACCCTGGGACTGGAGGTGCTGGCTCTGGGGGTGCTGCTGCTGGTGACACTGAGGCTGGAGACCCTGGGACTGGGGGTGCTGGTTCTGGGGGTGCTACTGCTGGAGACACAGGGGCTGGAGACCCTGGGACTGGAGGTGACGACTCTGGGACTGGAGCTTCTGGAGCTGCTGGAGGTTCTGGAGCTGCTGGAGGTACTGGAGCTGCTGGGGGTACTGGAGCTGCTGGAGCTGCCGGTACTGATGCAGCTGCGCCGACACGACTGTTCTTCGCTCCGCCGTCTCCGTCGTCTCTGCCGCCGTCTGACTCTGTTCTTCGTCAGGTTCTTACTCTCCCGTCGTCTACTGGTCTTCCGTTACAGCCTGGCTCACCGCTGCCTGCTCCTTCTCCTTACACTGAGCAGACTGGTAGTCCTGCTGAGCGTCGTGAGCCTGTGTCGCGTCCTGTCTCGCCTGCTCGTCCCGGTCGTCGTGTTCCTCGTTCGCGTCAGCAGGCTGTCCCCAGCACACACCTCGTAGTTCGTCGTCCTTCCTCTGCTCTGCAGCCTGTTCCTCTTCCGTCTCCTCCTGCGTCCTCTCTACCTGACGTTCCAGACCCTGAGTCTGACCGGTTTCGTGCTGAGCACCCTACTGTCACGCGTCTGCTAGCCACTGTTGTCACTGACCCGTCGTTTGAGTCTACTGCTGCGTCTGCTCTTGTCGCTGAGCTTGTTGACTTTGCTGCTGCCTGTCGTCTAGACTACGCCGCCAGTCTTGTTGCTGAGTCTGCGTCTGTCTGTCCTCCGTCCGTCGGGGGTGAGTGTGCTCTTAGCACGGACGTCCTTGAGGACAGGCAGGAGGAGTTCCAGTGTCTTGCTGCTGCTTTACCTCATCTTGTGTCCTCGCTACTTGCCCCTGAGGGAGACCCGGATGCACCAGACATCCCGACTCCGCGCTCTTACGCAGAGGCGATAGAGAGTCCCTACTCCTCTCAGTGGCAGGCAGCCATGGACGCAGAGATGGCTTCCTGGAAGTCCACAGGCACCTATGTCGACGAGGTTCCCCCACCTGGGGCGAACATCGTCAGTGGCATGTGGATTTTCAGGGTGAAGCGGCCGCCGGGTTCTCCGCCTGTCTTCAAGGCGCGTTACGTGGCTCGAGGCTTCAGTCAGCGAGAGGGAGTTGACTTCTTCCAGACCTTCTCCCCCACCCCGAAGATGACCACTCTTCGGGTGCTGCTGCACGTTGCTGCTCACCGTGACTACGAGCTTCACTCTCTTGACTTCAGCACTGCTTTCTTACAGGGCAGCCTGCACGAGGAGATCTGGCTGCGCCGCCCCCCGGGCTTCACTGGGTCGTTCCCTCCTGGCACCCAGTGGAGCCTCCGACGGCCGGTCTACGGTCTCCGCCAGGCGCCACATGAGTGGCACGACACACTGAGGACGACACTTGCGGCTCTTGGGTTTGCGCCTTCTACTGCTGACCCGTCGCTGTTTCTGCGCACAGACACTTCACTGCCGCCGTTCTACATCCTCGTGTACGTCGACGACTTGGTTTTTGCCACTGCTGACACTGAGGCTCTCGCCCACGTGAAGTCGGAGCTACAGAAGAGACACACGTGCACTGACTTGGGTGAGCTGCGCAGCTACCTTGGCTTGCAGATCACCCGGGACAGAGCACGCCGCACCATCACCTTGACTCAGTCACACATGGTGCAGCAGGTCCTTCAGCGCTTCGGCTTCACCTGGTCTTCAGCACAGGCCACTCCTCTGGCTACAGGTCACACGCTCTCAGCTCCACCTTCGGACAAGTCCGTAGAGCCGAGTGGTCCTTACCCAGAGCTAGTCGGCTGCCTCATGTACCTGATGACTTGCACTCGACCTGACCTCGCGTACCCTCTTGGTCTCCTCGCTCGCTACGTGGCTCCTGGTCGACACCGACCTGAGCACATGGCTGCTGCTAAGAGGGTACTGCGCTACTTGTGCAGCACATCAGGCATGGGGCTAGTGCTTGGAGGGACGAGCCCAGTTGTCCTCACTGGGCACTCAGACGCTTCTTGGGTTGACGACCTGGCTACTCAGCGGTCGTCACAGGGTTACACCTTCAGCCTTGGCTCTGGTTCAGTTTCGTGGCGTTCTACACGCTCGTCTTCAGTTCTCGGCTCCAGTTGTGAGGCTGAGATCTACGCCACCGCCATGGCTGCACAGGAGTTACGCTGGCTCACCTACCAGCTGACTGACTTGGGAGAGCAGCCTCGTTCTCCTCCAGTGCTGTACGTTGACAACAAGGCGGCCATTGCCTTGTGTGAGGAGCACAGACTGGAGCACAGAACGAAGCACATTGCTCTGCGTTACTTCCTGGCTCGAGAGTTGCAGCAGCGAGGCCAGCTTTGTCTTCGTTACGTGGCCACTCGGGCCAACACTGCTGATATATTCACCAAGGCACTTCCGTCTGGTGATCATCAGCGCTTTTGTACTCTGTTAGGCCTTGTGCCTACGCTTCCACACTTGCTGTAGTCTTTGCTTGTACTGTGATCTATATACATATATACCTGCATGCTGGCTCTTGCTAGGTAGCTCGACACTGTACTGTCATTGCTGCATATATATCTCTGCATGTGAACTGGCCTTGTGGCCAT